CCTGCCGGTGCGGCCGTACCAGGAGCGCATGGCGGGCGCCGCGCTGCTGGCCAACACCCTCGTGTGCCTGCCCACGGGGCTGGGCAAGACCTTCGTGGCCGCCGTGGTCATGTATAACTTCTACCGCTGGTTCCCCTCCGGGAAGGTGCTGTTCCTCGCCCCGACCAAGCCGCTGGTGGCTCAGCAGATGGAGGCGTGTGCCCGAGTCATGGGCATCCCGGCACGGGACATGGCGGAGATGACAGGTACGGGCTGCGGCGATATCCCGGAGGGCAGAGTGTGAAGAGACGCGGCGGACGGGGGGAATAAAGAGGTGTTTGAAAGGGTAAACTGTTGGTTTTGCAGTAGTTAAAGCCCCAGGTCGCCCGTGTAAAGGGTGGTGGAGCGCTGCGGTGCAGCCCTATGGGTCGTAGCCTGCGGGTGTTCACACGCCATGTGCTCTGCGTGAAGCTTAAGCTAAAGAATAATGGCTCTTTTTTTCCATGTTTTTTTGCTTTTCCCTCCTCTTTCCCCGTTCCTTTTGTCCTTTCCCACCCCCGCTTCCTTTGCCCTTCCCACATTCCCGTTTATCCCTTCCCCTCCCTTCCCCTTTCCCCCTCTTTTTCCTTCTTTCCCATTTTAATAAAGTTTTTGCAGACCCCCCCCGAGCTGCAGCTTACTGCTCACTGCAGCAATAGCCTTAAGCTGTTTTTAGGCACAAACCTTTCCCGGAGGTGCTGTAGGTGAGGTTTAGGGCTGTGGGCAGCTGTGGGGCATCTTGAGCTTCCCGGCCTTCATTTCCATGGTTCTGGATTTAGCGTTTTAATGCAATAAATTCATCCTCGTTGTTGTATTCAATGAGGGTGGGCAGGCCCTGGCCCAGGTTGCCCAGAGAAGCTGTGGCTGCCCCTGGATCCCTGGAAGTGTCCAAGGCCAGGTTGGAGCAGCCTGGGCTGGTGGAAGGTGTCCCTGCCCATGGCAGTGTTTGGAATAAGATGGTTTTTAAGGTCCCTTCCAACCCAAAACAGTCTGGGATTCCCTGTGTCTGCCAGCCCTGCTGGCTTCTGCTGTCACTCTCAGCTCATGGGCTGTGTTTTACTCTGAGCAGAACAGCTCCCTGATGTTATTTCCTTTATTTCCAGGAGGAACCCAAGCTCTGGGCCGCCGGGAACTGTGGAATACCAAAAGAGTCCTTTTCCTTACCCCTCAGATAATGGTCAATGACCTTTCTCGTGGCACCTGTCCCGCTGTGGACATTAAATGTTTGGTTATTGATGAAGCCCACAAAGCCCTTGGGAATCATGCCTACTGCCAGGTAATGCTGGAGACACCCCTTTTTCTCTCCCAGTGACAAAAACCCCAAAATCACTTCAGGATCTCCATAACGTGTCACTGTCACTGCTGTGGGGAGATTGTTCTTGAGGTCCTTAACTTTGAAAGAGATCAAACACTCCTGTACATTGTCACTGCCTTGTTATTAAGTAATACCTGTAAGGTATTTTTCTCATGCCTGAATTAAATTGTAATTTTTGTTTTGAAATATCTTTTTGACTGAGGCAATTTAAAAAAAAAAGCGTGGGGTTTTTTTGTAAGGTTCTTTAACTTAGTAAAATCAGTTCAAGTTTTGTTTTTAAAACTGAGGTTTGTGTTGATCAACAAAGACTCTGTTGTATTATCGTGGGTTAATCTCATAGCAATGGGAGATTTCAAAAGTAAATTTTATATACTGGAGAAATTGAGTGGAATATGTGTATAATACCTGTGGAGTTCAGATTTCATGGGACTTATTATCCACGATTTACTTTTTTTAAAAGAGTTGTTCTTCAGACTTCTTGGCAGCTCTCCTGAGTTAGTGTGCTCTTAATCTTTCTGTTAAATCAAGTGAGAAATCATTTCATAATTTACCAGGGTTGTTCTTGGTACACTTCCAGGATATCCCATCCCTGGAAGTGCTCCAGTGCAGGTTGCATGAGCACTTGGGATAGTGGAAGGTGTCCCTGCTCATGGCATGGGGTGATCTTTAATGTCCCCTCCCACCCAAACCGCACCACGATTCTAGGATTGGATATTTTCAGAGTGTTTTGTTAAGCTTTTCCTTCTTGGTGGGTATTTTCCTTGATATAGTTTGTGTAAGGAAATAATCTCCTTTGAAGGTATTAACAGAAAGTTCCCTGTTGGTAGGTGGTGAGGGAGCTGAGCAAATACACCAGCCAGTTTCGGATCCTGGCCCTGAGTGCCACACCAGGCAGTGACACCAAGGTGAGCCAACCCCACTTGTGTGCTTCAGATAATCAAATTGGAGTAGAAACTGTGTTTAATACCAGTTTGAGCACTGCAAGGTGCTAAAGTATGTTACAGTTCCACATCAAAACTGAATTCATTTACAGTCTTGGCTTGAGGTGCCTAAGTTGAGAGTCTTTTGTTTTCCATCACGGGCAGTGGGTAGCTTTTCCTTACAAATGTATTCAAGCCCTGCTAAACTGTGGGAATAGTAATTTTTCTTTTTTTACCCCTCTGCCAGGCTGTGCAGCAGGTTATCTCCAACTTACTGATCGCTCGGATAGAGGTGTGTGCTGAGGATTCCCCAGAAATCCAGCCTTATTCTCACGAGAGACAGGTGGAAAAAATCGTGGTGCCACTTGGGGAAGAGCTGGTAGGAATTCAGAACACTTACATCCAGGTGAGTTTGTTTGTTCTTTGTTGGTCACTGGCCAGTGACAGGAAATACATGAATATCTCTGCCTAGGCTTGCTGTAGCTTATAAAAACAACACCTTCCTATGCAGTTAACTTTGAGCACAAGGCAAAGAAAAAACGTGGTCTCGACTCCACTGTGACCTTAAAAAGCTCAGGTGAAAAACTGAGAATGGAATTACTTTCCTCATCCTTTTTCAGGAGTCTTTGCAGAATTGGCACCAGACTTAAAACTGAGGGTTTCTGCATTTGGCTGAATTTAGTAGGATTAAAGTATTCAGATGTTGGGAATGCCTTATGAAGTCTGTATGTGGATTTTCTGAAACATTTTCTATGTTAGAGAATATTCTTTAGGGTTTGAAGTCGCCTGTAAGTGTAATTAGTTCCCTTGATTATTTTTTATCTTTGTTTGTTTGTTTGTTTGGGTTTTTTTTTGTTTTGTTTTGTTTGTGGGTTTGTTTTTTTCCTGGGTTGGTTGATTTTCTTTTCTTATTATTCTGAGGGCTTTTTCTTTGTGTTTTCCCCTTTTTTTTTTTACTAATCTGTAATGTTCAAATATGGAAGAGATTTTCAGGCAAATGCTATTACATAAGATACAGCTTTGAAAAGTTCAAAATGTGTGGTCTGTGTTCAGTAAGAGGCATAAAAAACCCTGGGATTAGTTTAGTATCAGACTGTTGGCCTCAGAGTATGGTTTTGCTTAAACTTTAATGGTCTTGGTGTAGTTATGTGGACACCACTGGAAGGCAAACTTGTGAGTGCATCAACTGTTTTCAAACCAGTGTCCTGAGAGCTATTTAAATGAGGAAGGTCCACTCATAAGCTTTAAAAAGAAACTTTAAAGGTAGTTTTGCATCACTGCAGGTGCCTCTGAGTGCTCTGGTGAGTGCAGGGATTTATTTTGAGGTGCTTCACTTGAGATTTGTTTGGCTGCACAAACCTTGCCTGTGGCTTCAGTGGTTACTGTTTCCTTGCTTTGATCTGGTATTTGCATTTGAATTGCTCCTGATGTTCTTAGAAAATACAATTTGTACCCACACAGAGGGTGTGAAAGGATGGTTTGTGTTGTCTGGACAAGCCAAGCCTTAGCCTTGGAGGCCTCAGCACTTTGGGAAGTGGTTCCTGTTCCTCAGTTTTTCAAAGTGAGCATTTCCAGTCTGGGGCTGAGGTGGCTTTGGTAAAATCAGCCCAGCAGCTTGTGCCTCCTGCTGCTCCCACCCTGCCCCAGGAGTGAGAGCCAGGGCTGCTCTGCACAAGGAAATGAGGATCTTTTATGCTGACAGACAGGAGCAGTAACAGGACATGTCAGTGGGGATGAAGGACAGTGTCAAACAGCACAGTGCACCAATGCCACAGAAACTCTGTTTATGTGTGTTTACATACAGTAAGCAAGGCCCTGAGTATCACAATAGCTGGAATAAACATTTTAGGCACTAATGCTTGTTTGGAAAATACACAGTATGCAGGACAACACTCATCTGTTAAGGCTACATCGTTTAATCTTCCAAAAATGGGGGTGAATGCTGTTTTATTACCTCCTTTGGACAGTGGAAATCTAACAGCTTCAAATTACAAATGAAAATCCATGAGTGGCTTCCAAAGGAGAGCCACGGATGGATAATTAAATACCCGTTCCCAGGTGATCATTCTTGACATGGAGTTTTGAAATTGGAGTCATAGTAATGTTTGCTTGGCACTCACTGGTGTAACAACTAAATAAACCTTGTTGTGTGCCAGTTAAAAGCTGGAACTCTTGGTCCCTGTGCTCACGAGGGCCAGTGACAGCCCTGTTCCACCTTCCACAGCCATAAAGTGTATCTTCAAACGGGAGGTGAAGTGGTTTTTTCTCAGCAGCAGAAGCCATCTAACACGAGTCAAAATAAATAAATACTATGTGGGAGTTCACAGTCTGCCAGAAACAGCGGGGAAGGCTTGGCTGCAGTGGGAGATCAGCACACTCAGACACTGCTCCTGTCCCAGGGACAGGCATGTTTGTAGGACCAGGAGCCCAGTCACAGCAGGGCTGGGGCTGCCCACGGGAAGGGACACCAGACACAGCAAGTGCTTTCTGCAGCAGAGGTTTCAGATGTAAACTCTGTACAAACCGGTGCTGTATGGTGGGAGGATTTCACTGCTTCCAAGGACTGCTCAGCATCTGTTGTGCCAAAGCACTAAGATAATTTCTCTAACTGGCAAAAGCAATCAGATTGCAGAAACCTCTTTAATTTGGCATAAAATCTTGCCAAAGGAAAAAATTATTTGTATTTGCTCTTTTAAAAATCTTGGTGGGGGAGCAGGGGGTTGAGGACAAAACCTTTCTCCCTGGGCCCTCTATTCAACTGGATTTTAAAAAACTTTTTATTGTTTTCTGTTAGCTAAGAGCTTTTAATTTAATACTGGCTGGCATTTTTTAATTTTCCTTTTCCCAGGCTGAGATCCTTCATTGTATTTTTGTTGGTCCAGGATTTTTTTTTCCTCCCCACGAGGACTGTTGGTTTGTTTGTGTTAAAACTAAGGCTTTTCTCTCTCTTTTTATTTTCTTTTTCCATTTTCCCCCTCTCCTTGCTGTGTCCCAAGGAATCTCCATGCCCAGCAAGCACCAGAGGGCACCTTGGTCCCACTTAAGCCAGGGCCAGCTGCACTCTGATCCTGCTGCTCAGGGAGAGGCTTTGGGTTAACCTTAAAGCCAGTGGGAACAGGAGGCTTCAGGCTCTTCCAGAAGTACTCCATAAATCCATGCCTGGAGTTATTTTTTCACTCTGCTGGGAGTTAGCAGCCACTGGCTCTGGTTGCTGGTCTGTAGGTTGTGATTAGAGAGCACAAAAGCTCTGTTTAAACCCCAAATCCTGCAATCAATAAATAATGCTGGTGATATACTCAATAAATTTTATATAAAAAGACACTTCTATTAAGCATAAACTCTGCCTTCATATCAGTAGGGGGAGACATTCAGGAGGGATTTTTTGAGAGCAAAACTGTTTGCTGCCCCAGTTCTAAAGTGCAGTAGGTGCCCTTGGGCTGTGTGAAACAGTGGGAATGCTGCTCTCAGCCCTTCTGCCAGGCGGGCAGCTGTCTGCCTGCAGGATTACCCTGGGGGTGAAGGGCAAAAGAAACCACAAGATGGATACTAGGAAGAAAAAATTCTCACAGTGAGGGTGGTCAGACTGCAGCAGGGCCCAGAGGGGCTGTGGACTCCTCATCCCTGGAGCTGCTCGAACTCCAGGCATGTGAGAGCCAGAGCAGCCAGCTCTGCCTGGCCCTTCTCTCTGCAGAGGTCACTTCTAGCTGGGATTTTTAATGTGATTCTGTGAATATTTGTGTCAGTTATTACATTAGTGGTGTGGCAAAAGGACTGAACAGATTAATTACCTCGCTGCAGTGTTTTAGCATCCAGCAAAGTCGTGAGAAAAAAGCGTTCAGAAAACTGGAGTTAAAAATAACCAGCGGCTATTTAGGAATGCCAGAGACAGTCATGGGATTCCTGGGAGTGTGGGATTAAGGTAACCTGTAACTTCTGCTATCGAAACTTCAATGAGCATTAGGACTGTGGTGCTTTTTTGGTCTCTTCTCCAGACTAAAAGTCCTTTGGTTGGGTGCTTTGTGAGGTAAGCATTAGGATTTGTGTCACGGATGAGGACATCCAAAGCAGTCGGCGTTGGCCTACTCTGACTCCTTGGGTCAATCCCAGGGGGCTAAATCTGGTAGTTCTCTGCAGGAACTACGACCTGGACATTCTTTTTCTGCATGTTGAGGTGGGTTTGGTGTGTTCCCACTGACTGCCCCAGCGGGGTCTTTGTGCAGCACCGGGTGCCCAGAGCAGGAGCTCCAGGGTCTCCCCAGGGACCATCCCAAGCCACAAGCAGTCTAGGGATGCCAGCAAGTGGATGAGGGGAGAGGTCTCTGCCTGCCTTATCTTGTAAACAAAAGATAAGGTGAACTAACTTATAAAGTGCTAAAACCCTCATTAAAATTGTGTGGAGACTGTCCAAGGTGACACAGGGACTGTGTTGGGGTGGCCTGGGTGTGGTGACTGAGCTGGGGGATTGCCTCCCTACAGGGGCTCAGAGCCCCGTCGCTGAACTCTCTGGGTCGGGCACCTA